CCATGGCCGGTGTCCAAACTCGGGCCGCCTTCGATCGATTGAGTGGGATACGAGAAACAATATCGAAAGCTTTCTCCGGTTCGATTTCGTACCCGGTGTCGACGAGATGCCCAACGATCGCGCTTGAGATACAGCCAATCTCCCCCTGACTTAACCATCGCGGGTGGTGCTCCTTAACGCGATGACAAACGCTTCGCGGTACGACCTATGTAACGTGAGCCACAGACGCACTTAAAAGAGTAAATTATCATGGATGAGGTCAGCTTCGACAGTTTGTCTTTCACTTGCATTCGCATTAACGGTGATGTAGAGAACACCGGTCCAAGTTTGGCTGCGGAGAAAGTGGAATTCACAGCTGCTCTCAGTGATTGGACTAGGCTCTCTGTATGTGAGTCCCCCTCAAACAGGATTCTTATGAATAGTTCCATTACTCTCAACCTCTGATTAATGACCTAAAATTGAGCCAATGGCTACCATTATGTAAGAATTTTTCACCATATCATTTGTAAGACCATGACTAGGAATATCCGAAAACAATTGTTCGCTCACCGACTCGTTTTCTCAATGATAGATATCTCCAAATATTTCCGGGAATTTCCCCCCCCCCTGCAGTGAAACTTTATTGTATGATTGAAATTACGTACACTGGAACTACCTGTACTCTGTTAAAAACCCAACAATTCATGTGCGGTCCTAACCAACTCCCAGGTTGATGACCTTTGCCCACCGAATCGGAATTCCTTACGTTCGCCCTCCACGGCCATTCGGTTTGCACTTTTACGTATTTCCCCGAATGGCAACGTTCGTGTTAATTATCGCGACCCGTTCTTCGTTCAACCTGCTATCGCAATCTATTATCTCCACTCCACACGAAAACTGTATCGCGGTGATTGTCGTAATCCATTATCACCACCACACATGGAACTATGTCGTAGTAACCGTCGTCACTTGTTCTGCGCTCAATCCATTAGCGGTATCAATTATCTCAACTTGACATAGAAATTGTCTCGTATTATTGTGGTAACCGATTCATCACCCACCCACTATGATTATCCTACCGTCTTCACTGTTGTCACTATTCATTCCTTCTCACAATTGAGTTGAGCAGGGTCCGTGGCCCACAACAAACTTTCAAAGATGGTTTGTGCTACATCGTGTAAATAAAAAATGAAAAACGGTCTGATCAGCTGCTCGGTGGCTTATGGATAGCACGCTTGCGTTCTGCCCATGAAGTCCCGGGTTCGATCCCCAGTCGGGCCGATGGATTCGCACTGCTGATGAGACCCAACCAGGTCGAAACAGCTGTCCAGTGCTTCCGAACTTTTCAGTTCACGCTTCATTTGCTATGTCCATGACGAATTCCCATTTGAAATTCAGTTATTTCTTGGCATATGGTACCACCCACCTTGCGTGTTTAACCTTCTCATACACCCTCCTCGTGTTCGTTGTCTATTACCTCAATTACACCGNTTCGCTATCCCATCCCTGTGATTGGTCCTCACCGCCCTTTGAATAGCACGGTCTCTATTTCGCCAGTTCGCCGAGCTGGGCAATTTGTTTGCAAACGTTTCATCATCAGTGCTTATGAAGTGGCTTCACAAGCACTGATGATGTCACCTCGGCTGGTGATGAAACGTTTGCAAACAACTTGCCAAGCTTGGCGAAATAGAATTCAGTTCACCCGAGCTACGAGAACCAATTTTCAATACTTTGTCAGCACGGTCTCCATATCCACATCGCATTCCTCCTCCGATTTCCAAGGGAGTGTTTTCCTGGCACGTTTGCCCTTGTCGTGTCGAACCAATTGTTTTATCCAGACTCGGTTGCCCCTAATTTGAGGTATGCCGTTGTATTTCCATTGATTCATGATTCATTATGCAGTACACGTAGATTTCCCAGTCTTGTGTTCTGACGCGAATTCGGGGGTTCGGTATCTGCGAGTCACTCTATCATCGGACATCAATCCGGTACAATCACCGTTTCGTTTTCTGTTTACAAATGAGTGATGATATGGTAAACTACTGATGACAAATACATTTCCCTGCCAATTGGCATTTCACTTTGCATTCCAAACTGCGCAAAATATGTTTGAGATCAGTTTCTATCACAGAGAGAACGGGACACCAAAAACAGTTTTACATGTTGCGCACATGGAAACCCGGGTCGTCTGTACACGTGTATCTTACTGCTGGCAAATCAAACTTAACGATAGCAAACAGTCAACTATTACTCATTATGTTACAATTACGAATGTGACGATCTCTTCTACCAGAATTCATGCATTTGTTTTTTCTCCAGTGCTTATTGTCAGTCGGTTCTATACTCAAAATCCACTGGACTGCGTCACCGAATGCTACAAACACCCATGTTGCGTCGGTCCACTATATCAGCTCAAACGATGGTGGTGCATTTTGCTTGGGCCGATCAAAGGTCCGTCAGTTTGCACGACACAAGTAAGACCGCATCTGAGCAGTGAACTTCAGGTGATATACACATGCATGACTTTCAGTTCGTTCTTTTTCAGCCCCCCCTCCCCATTCCGCGGTCGTATTCAATGAAGAATGAAAAGAGATGAGTTATTTGTTCACTACAATTAATTTTTCGCATCACGCATTTGTGTTTTTGTTTTCCTGGTTACTTGTCCTCTACAACAGTTACTTACATCCCGGTATATTGAACTAAAGACCGTAGTGTAGTATACATACAACCGATCGGGACTGATAAGTGGGGAATATTCCAGAATATACCCATTATGACGTGGAAATATACGTTCACAGTCGAACATTTGTTTTCTTTGATTCATCTTCTAGCTCGAAGGAAGACCGAAATATGGGCCCTTTTTGGAAGCTTCGAAGAAAAAAGTTGTGACCTTCGAGGGATTGAATGTCTATCCACCTTTCAAATTGGCACTATGTACCCTGGATCATTTCGCTGCATCTGTGCACGTGCATATGCTAACTTATGAGATCATTAATATACAGTCAGAAATAACAGAATCATACGCCGAGAAAGACTGCGGTCAAAATCATCCACCAAACATCTTTTTTTACCAACGTAACACCGAGTGATAAGCCATTCCCCTTATTTACATTGGAGCTACCTTGATAAAAAATGTTTTCGGCGAATGATTGTGATCGGAATCTTTCTCGGCGTATGATTCTGTTACTTCCGACTGTATATTAATGATCACATAAACAAACATATTCGCGTACACAGTACAGCAAAATGATCCAGGACACATTGTGAAAATCTGTATTATTGGCTTCTCTAATCAAACACTGGGAATATCTAAAATTCTGATTCGCATCTAAAATGAGGCTATTTTAACTCCCAGAATCATTGGCTATACAATCCAACAGACATGATCCGTGAAATTTATCCTCCAAAAAGCACTTCCCATCATCCATGGTCTCTTGACAGTGTTTTGTTTTCTATTCCATTAGATATCCACTTCATTCGAATGGGGCATACCGCACAAGCTATCCACGCTAAGAGTTCTTCTCAATCCGTTCATTCTCTGGCGCTATGAATGCTGTTCCCTACCCGATTGGTTTTCCGGTCGTTTTGCTCAAACGAACGATGCATTCGTTCGGATTACTGAAGATCGACCGTTTCATCCAGATCAGCTGGGCTACTGCCTGTGTGAAGCCCCACAAGTGGATCGAATATATTTAGTCAATCAGTCGGATTTACTCTGCACAGAGGAGAAGCCGTGCGAGTTGGAATACCGTCAAAAATATGCCATAGCACCGTCCGCATTGCTCGTAGACCGTCACAGACCAATAGCAGTGCACGAGAATGGGGTGACTCGGTGGTATGGGATGAAACATCAAGAATGGAACAAACGGTAAGCCACTGACAGGGGAAAATTTTCGTATGCGGCTGTTGTTTTTGGTGGTGGTCGTCGACATCTAGCGGTTTAAAAAACTTGTAACGGTGTTTTTCAAGTTCTAAGATCCGAAGTACGTAGTATTTAGAAACTTATGTTCTTGTCCATCCCACTTATTCCGGCATCCCTGGTACTATCCCACATTGTTCCTACTGTGATTTATTACTATCACTGTTCACAAGATCCCCCTATTACTGAATTCAAATCCCGGTTAGTGTTTGACATGCAAGTGCGCTTCCTGCATCCGCCGAGCGTGTGACAAACCAAAGAACGGCGATCCACATCTAACTTTGCTTGGGTAACTGTGCTGCTCCGGGCCGCGTCCCAGTACGGTACAAAGTACCTCACGGCTCCACATTGACCCATACGTAGACAAGTCAAGTACACCTCTAAAGGAGGCGATTAGAAAAATGGATTCTGTTTAGTCTGCGTTTGCTTAAGGAATGCGTATCACGGTTTTTTTAGTGGTAAGGGCGCCTTATAAATTGTGCAAAATTTTAATCAATATTCACAAAATCCTGTTTGAGTTAAGGGAGGGCACTTGCGACCTTTTTAGATAACACTGCTTCATTAGAGACTTTTTTCGTTCACAAAGAAAACGATGATACACTGCTGGTTTTGAAATCTCCTTTTGCCACAAAAGTGCCGAAGTGCGGAGAACTATTTTTTTATTTCTCCCTGATCAATAACCTAGAATCATCTTTGGATACAGAGTCAAGAGATCAGTTCTCACCTGAATTTATCTCTCACTCTACTACAAGGTAATCTACAGGTATTAACCAAACTCGTGCAACATCATGACTTTTCCCAAATCTATTTATCTCATTGCCAAACGTTTTGATCCTCATGCACGGGCATGTGCATGGTATTACCCTAGGTCACTCGCAAAATTTTTATAGTACTAATAAATTATATGGTTGCTTCTTTTGGCCGAGCGCGTTAGAAAAGTACAATTTCTCCATTTCGACTATGGTTGCTGACGCATCGACTGTAAGATAACCGAACGTTTGTGGGGGGAAATGATAAAAGTTTATTCGTGAAAAGAACTCATATCAATTACACAGATTGAGGAGTTTCATATTTTTAATAATCTGCGTGTCCTCCTTTATTTTGGAGCACCTGAGTCAGTCTTTTTGGAAATTAGATCACTTTTGTCAGTTTCCTCCAGTATATGCCATACCCTGGCCTCCAACGACCACTCCCGAGGAAGGTGACTCAGCTCTGTTTTGAACACAGAGAGAAAGTTTTCGATCACACTCAAATCCGGGCTGTTAGGTGGAAACTGAATGAATTCGATTTTTGAGCCATTTCAAATCGTGTCTAAGCATGAAAAAAAAACAATATATGCTTGAGTTTAAATGATTTTGTGACATACCTCACGTGAAACATG